GGAGGAGGAGGAGGAGGAGGAGGAGGGGGAGGACGACGACGACGACGACTCTGGGGGACTTTGGTGCTCTCTGAGCTTGGCTGTTTTCTTGCAGACGTTTCATGACCCAACTAGGGAACACCATCAGTTAGGTTCATGTATCTCTTACGCATTTTCTTTTCCTCCCACGATCCCATTTGAACCCCCAAATGTCCTTGAGCCTTTTCTGACCTTTCCGATGCAAAAGCTGCCTCTCTGGACAGCTTCCTGTATACCTAGTCCTCAACGTACGACACAACTGAGCTCAACATTTCCACTGCTAAGCCAAACAGCTGTCAGGCCAGTTTTGCTCCATTTTTACGACCTTTCCTACGGTTGTTGTCACTCGCTGCCGTGGTTAAGCTAGGCACATGGCTGTTCAGTGACTCCGGCTTTGCTTTGCTTGTCGGAAGGTCACAAAAGGGGATGACGCGACCCGGGGACGCTGCAACCGTCACAAATACGAGTCAGTTGCCAAGCATCCGAATTGGGACCATGGGAGATGCTTGCAAGGGTTGTTAAGCGTGAAAAACGGTCACCAGACAGGGTTTTTTTTACCGCAGTTGTAACTTTGGACGGTCAGTAAATGAACCGTCGTAAGTGGAGGACTCCCTGTATTATAGCAGACAATAATTAACAATTAACCAGTGGAACAACCTGCCTCCAGAAGTGGTGAATGCTCCAACACTGGATGTTTTTAAGAAGAGATTGGACGGCCATTTGTCCGAAATGGTACGGGGTTTCCTGCCTGAGCAGGGGGTTGGACTCGATGACCTTCAAGGTCCCTTCCAACTTTATTATTATTATTATTATTATTATTATTATAATAAAGGAGCTAGTTTGAATGCTCTATGCGTGGATCTGTTTGTTCGCGCGTGATTTCTACCTGCTTTCTTTGGAGCCGAGACGTGGCATCGGGTTATTCTCTTCACCAGCTCCGGAATACGATCCCGATATTTCTCCACAATTGCAATTTTTATTTCCAGCTGTTTGTCTTCTGCTTTGTCAGCATAGTCCTTGATGCTGGCCAAGCCCTTCTCAGCCCACCTCCTGATGAATGGATCCTTTATCTCGAGTTTCACTGAGAAGATCAAGCAAGAGAGAGATCCTATTAAGGATTGTACTTCGAACATTGCCGCTACACAACTTGGGCATCTACACAAACACCGGCTGGGGAAAAAACTCACATTCCGGATGAAGGAGCTTCCAGAGATCACGGATCTTCTCAAGGCCAAAAACTTTCAGTCCCTGATGAAAAGAGGACAACAGGAACAACGTCAAGGAGAGCCCTGTGAGATGGGACTTGTAGTCCGAGGCACAGTTGTTAATTATCGGTCCGCCCTTCGGGGCTCCTTAATGCCCTTCCAAACGGGTACGATGCACCGGCAGCATTCACTGGTTTGGCAACACATCCCTCAACAAAGCAGCCTTGCAAAATTGGAGGGGCTGCCCCAAAGAGGACGGAAAGGAAACGAGGGAGGGAATGGAGCAGGGTGGGAAGAGTATGAAGGAGGATGGAAGGAAAGAAGGAAAGAAAGAAAGGAGGGAGGGAGGGAGGAAGGAAGAAGAACTGTGGAGTCCTTGGTGCTTACCAAGCTTGGTAGTTTTCTTGCAGACGTTTCATGACCCAACTAGGTAACATCATGAGTGCTAGAAGGGAGAGGAAAGGAAAGGAAAGGAAAGGAAAGGAAAGGAAAGGAAAGGAAAAGAAGGAAGGAGGGAGGGAGGGAGGGAGGGAGGAAGGAAGGAGATAGAGAGAAGGGAGGGAGTAAAAGAGGGAGGAAGGAAGGAAGGGAGGGAGGGCTGAAGGAGATGGGGAGGAAGGAAGAAGGGAAGAAGGAAAAGAGGAGAGAAGGAAGGAAAAGAGGGAGGGAGGGAGGAACCCCTACTGCGTCCTTCCTGTGCCTTCTCACACTCACCCCGAGCAAGTGTATCTTAGCAGGTGCGTCTCCACGGGTAAGTTTCACAGCATCCTCAAAGACAGTTTTGTTGGTCCGGGATAAGTGGGCCACCTTCCCCTCCACGCCGACCCCACTGACGTCACCTGTCGAAAAGAGAGCACCGCCTCAGTCCCGCCTAGCCAGACTCACCTGGAGCAACAAAAGGACGACTGGCTTCAAAGACTCACTTTCCTGTTTGTTCCCCACCAGCGTTTTCCTCCGGACTCCCTTGGAGACGTCCAGAATGGTCGCGCCAACGTAAGCGATTTCGGAGCCAAAGCGAAAACTCTGCGGAAGGGTGGAAATGAAAACAGAATCCTCCAATGACGCAAAATCTGGAACCCGTAATATATGTGCAATTTGCTGGCCTTTCTTCCCCCTTCAGCTATGGCTGGCTAGCTTTTGTGCCCATCGTGGGACTAGAACTCACCGTCTCCTAGGGATTCGCCCGAAGTCACCCAACCAGCTCTCTAGCTTAAGACAGGATTAGACTTCAACGTCTCCTGGTGATTGGCCCAGAGTCACCCAGCTGGCTTTCATGCCTAAGGCAGGACTAGAACTCACCGTCTCCTGGTGATTGGCCCAAAGTCACCCAGCAGGATTTCATGCCTAAGGCGGGACTAGAACTCACCGTCTCCTGGTGATTGGCCAGAGTCACCTAGCAGGCTTTCATGCCTTAAGTGGAACTAGAACTCACCGTCTCCTGGTGATTGGCCCAGAGTCACCCAGCAGGCTTTCATGCCTTAAGTGGAACTAGAACTCACCGTCTCCTGGTGATTGGCCCAGAGTCACCCAGCAGGCTTCCATCCCTAAGGCGGGACTAGAACTCACTGCCTCCTGGTGATAGGCCCAGAGTCGCCCAGCAGTCTTTCATGTCTAAGGTGGGACTAGAACTCCCAATCTCCCACTTTCTAGCCTGGTGCTTTATCCATTAGGCCACACCTTCCCTAAAGACAGCTTCCTCAGAAAATATGTCTTCCTGTTTCAGCCAGTCCTGGAATTCGAGCTTGCTGACTGCGTTAAGGAGACTGATTGGTCTATAGTTGCCATTGTGAGATAGCTTTCAGTTGGAACCGGAGGGGACCCACAACAAGACCCATGAATTGCTAAGAACTGGATCTTCTGGATCTTCAGTCTACAGCTAACCCACATCTCAAAGTCTACGGAGATTCTCCGTCATCCAGGTTGCCCCAAAGGTGCTTTTTTCAGGTGGCAACTGGACTTCCTTGTTTTTCTTTGAAGTCGTTTCGCTTCTCATCCAAGAAGCTTCTTCAGCTCTGGCTGGATGGTGGGGAATGGAAGGATTTATACTCCTTGCAGACAGCTGGTCATTTGCATCCTTTGAGAGAGTCGTTGAGGCCACTTGGAGGTGTCTGTCCTCAGGGTCACCTGAGTGGTGCAAATGGGTGTGGAGCCTTCTTGGAACTGCTGAAAGGGTTGGGACACCCATTTGCACCACTCAGCTGACCCTGAGGACACAGACAAGCCTCCAAGTGGCCTCAACGACTCTCTAAAAGACTGCAAATAACCAACTGTCTGCAAGGAGTATAAATCCTTCCATTCCCCACCATCCAGTCAGAACCAAAGAAGCTTCTGGGATGAGAGGCGAAACGTCTTCAAAGAAAAACAAGAAAGTCCAGTTGCCTCCTGGAAAACCATCTTTGGGACCATAACCCTAAGTCAAACATCTCAGCTAGCCTGCCACGCTGCCTCGGCTTACCTGTGTCAGGTAGAAGATGCGGCTGTGGGGCACTTCAGAAAGTGTGTTGACAGCACCCCGGAAGGTGTAGATCTGCTGGTGTGGGTCTCCCACCAAGATCACACCACATGGCTGCGAGAGGACAATGTCCATAACAGCTAGAGAAAGAAAAAAGAAGCTTGAGGTAGAGGCCAAGACCAACGTTCTCACAGGAACAAGACCCTCAGAAAGAGAGAGTGGCTTTTATGAGCTGTGGATTTTAATTTTTTCATCTTTATCATAAATGATGGGACCTGGAGTTTCCAAAACAGGAGAGGGGTCTAGAAGAAATCGCACCCCTCTACCCCAAAACTGACAATCCATGGATCTGACAGAGTTTTCCCTAATAGTAGATCACTGTTTCTCAGCCTTGGCAAGTTGAAGATATGTGGACTTCATCTCCCAGAATTCCCCAGTCAGCCAGGAACCTTCCTTTAGACGTGTCTCCTCTGCAAAGGGGTCTTAAGAATTATTTCCCTGTGACACCAAAAAGACCAATCCGACCATTGACAGGCAGTCCTCGACTTACGACCACAATTGAGCCCAAAACTTCAGCTGCTAAGCGAGACAATTGTAATGTGAATTTTGCCCCATTTCACAACCTTTCTTGCCACAGCTGTCAACCGAATCACTGCAGTTGTTAAGTTAGCAACACGGTTGTTAAGTGAATCTGGCTTCCCCATGGACTTTGCTTTATCAGGAGGTCGCAAAAGGGGATCACGTGACACCCCCCCGGGACACTGCGACCGTCGTAAATATGAATCAGTTGCCAAAGCTCCCAATTTTGATGACGTGACCGTGAGGATGCTGCAACGGTCGTGAGAAAAACGACCGTGTCCCTTTTTTCAGCGCTGTCGTAATGTCAAAGGGTCACTAAGCGAAACGGCGTAAGCCGAGGACTACCTGTACTTGGGAAACCTCACTCACCGGGGGTGCAGTCTTGGGCCTCATCCACCAAGATGACATCGTAGCCGGAAAGCAAAGGCTTCTGGAGTTGCCAAAGCTTCAGGTAACCTAAAAGACGTAAGACCGATGCTTAAAATCAACATCAGCGCACAATAAAGCAACATTTGCGGTTTTCTGGTCTGGGACTCCTGTGTTACAACGGAAACAGAGCCCACTATTTAAAAAGGAAGCATGGTGTTATATTTTCTCTGAATACAGGGTTTCCCAAGCTTGGCCACTTACAAGATGTGTGGACTTCAACTCCCAAGATGCTGGCTGGGAAATTCCCGAGAATTGAAGTCCACAAGTCTTAAACTGGCCAAGACAGGACTAGAACTCCCAGTCTCCTGGTGATTGGCCCAAAGTCACCCAGCCAGATTGCATTCCTAAGGCGGGACTAGAACTCACCATCTCCTGGTGATTGGCCCAAAGTCACCCAGTCAGCTTTCATTCCTAAGGCGGGACTAGAACTCCCAGTCTCCTGGTGATTGG